ATATAAAAATAATAATGTATAACTTTCAAAAGATATCTTTGATTTTATATAAGAGTTTATCTTTAGAAGATAAAAAATAATTTTTTATCATATTTTTAATGGTGTTAAGCGCCAAAACTTTTTTGGAATACTTTAATAATTTTTTTATTCACAATACTTTTAATAACTATTCTACAAATACTTTTAAAACTCGCAATATAATTTATAATTATTTTAAATATCATCTTATTTCAACACTATATTAATAAATATTTTAGTTAAACGTTATTTAAATATATTTTTGAATTTCTTATCTCAATTTTCTTGAAATTATTTATCACCTCAAAATTTTTTGACATAATTTCATGGAGGATTTGGATCTTCTTATAATTTCGATATGAACCAATTTAAAAATACTTAATAATTTGTTGTTGAGCTACAAAAGCTAAATTTTGATTATCAAATTCTACGTTACAAGCAATACGGTTAAGTATTGTGGGCGATAAACGTAACCCAAATAATTAAAAAAAGAAAAATAGTTCATGCTTTGAACTAAAAATTTGAAGCTGTAAGTTCGCAAATGAGAAAAAGATTCGAGCAAAGCATCATCCTCTTGTGTGAGTCTCACTGTTTCTATGTCCGCTGGTTCTTGGAAAAGAAACGAAGAATTATATAAAACAAAACCCTGTAGAAAACAGCCCATCCGACCATAATAAGCACCTTCTTCCATTCCTCTTTTTCATCGCCATGGATGCCCAGCGAATCCAAGATTTCGAACCCAGACACGTCACTCCCATTTGGGTTCTTCCCAAAAGGTTTATCAGTTCTGTACTGGTTCATGAGTAGGCCTTCGTACGGGTAAGTCATGGTGGAGATCTTGTTCATCCATCTCCAGTAACCTGGAATCGCATGGCTGTGGACGAAATACCCGCAGAAGAGAAAAAACAGAGCGGTGAAAGCGATGACCGCCGCATAACCCAGAATGTAGTTCGGCACGATGGAGCTGACGAAAACCACGAACGAGTTGGTTGACAGGAGGGAAGAATAGAGGACGATAAGGAAATACAAGATGGAGCCACGAAGCCGAAGAGCTTTCCATACTATGCCGGTGTAGACGGCGGCTTGGAGGAGGAGGAACGGGAGGTAGGTGATGAATCCTGCAATGGTGTAAGAAGAAGCCCTATAGGCGTTATGTGAAGTTTCCCGGATGAAAATGAAACGTTCTTGGATGAAAGCTGGAACGGCGTCGTTTGAGGAGAAGAAAAAGACGCAGGTGGTGAAGATGAAGAAGCTAATACGATTCGTGATTCCTTGCGCGTTCTGTTTGGGGTTCATGAACATGGTGGCCATCATGAACCCCATGATTGTGAGCACCATAAGTCGGGACAGGAAGAGCTCGGGGGTTCGACGGATGTTCTTGAAGTTCCGGCGCATGAGAATCCACGACTCGGTGAAGAAGGAATTTGCATACTTTGCACCACCACCGTGATTGGCCATGGCCGCCCGACCGGCCCCTGGTGTCAAGTAGTCGTTTTCGTTCACTGTGTAGTCACTGCTATGCGGCGTTGGTGTCCCTGTGAGGATTTCGCTCGAGTACGTGTAGTACCCGGGTGACGAGCTGCACAATATACGCATCACCAATAAAAATACAATACAAATAAACTTCAACCGTCGGTTACTAAATTTAGAATTTAATTACCTCATTGGGTTCATTTTCAGATCATTTCGTTGAGGAGTAAACCTGAGCGTCTGGACAACCCCACTATGGCTAGCACTCCATGATCTTGACGTGTTATAAGGACTTCTTACACTATGATCAAACTCATCAACTAGACGATTACTTGTCTGCAAATGAAGCCTTTTTCCACCTTTTCCGGAAACTCCTTCAACGACTTGATTCCGTCGTGGCATCGGAGAAAGCTCAACCGTTGAGACTACAGATGCATCCTCTTCTTCCTCCGTCAACGGCGGCGGTTTCATCCCAGTGCGTGCGAACTCCGCCAAGGCCTCAACACCCAACTCGGACTGATCATATTCTTGTATCACATCAATTAAATATTCGATTGAGTTTTCTCCTTTGGGGAGTTTTCTTCCCATTCGGGTGAGGTGAAGAGTGACGTCTTTTGGCGATCCCTGAAACATGAGCTGGCCTCGAGCGAGGATAATGAGATGGTCGAGAAGCAGCTGGATTCTGGAGGATGGCTGGTGGATTGTGAGAATAACAGTGCTGCCCGTGCGAGCTATGTCGTGAACCTTCTCGATCACGTTGTGAGCGCTGGTGGAGTCTAAACCGGACGTTGGCTCGTCAAGAAATAGCAAGGATGGTCCGTGAATTATGTCTACGCCGATTGACACACGCCGTCGCTCACCGCCGGAGACTCCTCTTGTCCCTTCGTCGCCTATGTACGTGTTCCTCGATGACTTCCACGCAGATCACCATAAAAAGATTTTGTTAGTATTAGAATATTCCAAAAGATTAAGAACTTTAAGATAATCACTTACAGATAAGCCGAGTTGTTCAATCAACTTCTCCACACGCTGCTTCTTATCAGCCGTGGAGATTGGGCCAAGCCGAAAATCAGCCGCAAACATGAACGTCTCATAAACAGTAAGCATCGGGAACAGCCTATCATCCTGCATTATATAAGCCGAAGTTCTTTTAATCAAGCTAGGGCTCATCTCTACCCCATCTAAGGACACCTTGCCCTTAAGACTCCCACTTGCAATCTGCCCAGACAAACCGTCGAGCAAAGTCGACTTGCCCGCACCGCTCGGCCCCATCACCGCCGTGATGCACCCTTTCGGCGCATACCCAGTTATCTTATTCAACAAGTCCACCTCTTCGCTCAACCATTTCCCTTCAACCTTCTTCTTTTTTGTCACAGTGTATGTCAAGCTAGAAAACTCTAGCCCACCAGTAAAAATCACCGTTTTGATATTATGATTATTCCCTACGTCAATCACCGACTGATCACCATCACGACGATAATGATGATCATAACCGTTCATTTTATGAGCCATGTATGAATATGTAAACACTACAATAGTAGTAATCAATCAAAAACAAGTGCTGGGCATATAAGAGACTTTCTATTTGTTTGGTTTCTGGGTCTCATAAAATTGGGTGTTGATGAACTGGTGAAAGGATTAAAAGGTGGCAAGAGACTTTATTGATTGATTAGGAGGTAGTTTCAATGTGGGTGTTTGACAAAGGTATGTGTCTTTATTGAACAATCCATTTTATGTTCGTCTCAGTCGAAGCTAGTTAAGCAACTCTTCTAGTATTCTTCATCCTTCAAATTTGGCTTTGTTTATATGCAAGTTAGTAAGAGATTTTGGTTTTCTCTTCACAAATTTCTTTGGAAGTTTTGTTTGTGCATGCAATACGTTATATCAGCTTTTTGATTTGTAGTAAGTCACCTCATGGACTCATAGGAAAGATCTCCCAAATTTTAACTAAACATATAATGATTTTATGATGTGTAGCATTGTACATGCGCATATATATATACACACACACATATATACATATATGGTAGTTGTGGGTGATGGGGAGATAAAGATATCAATCTCAAGGAAAGCTTTCCTCATGTAAATTGCAAGCTAGCATATCATAACATAAAAAAAAAGGGTTTAAATTTTGGAGCTTACTAGGTAAGTCACAAAGTTCTAATAAGAAAACGATTGGTTGATGATTCTGTAATTTGTAACGCGAATTCTGAAAATATCGATAAAATGAATATTTATTAAAAATAATTTTAATAAAAAAATTATTTAATATTTAATAAAATTAATTATAAAATGTATTATCATATAAAAAATATAAATAAAAGTGGTGAAATTGATTTTTAAAATTTTAAAAGTCAATTTTTTAACAAAAATCAAAACTGTTTTCTAAAAATTATCTATGTAGATCTATCAAAAACTGATTTTAGTTTTGACTGTTGATGAAGATATTTTCTATTTTATCCGTTTAGTTGCAAAAGTACTTTTGAAACGTAAAATCTCGAAATAAAAATTGAACAAAACATCTCTTAATTTTATTAGAAAGTGGTGATTGCACGAATTTTTTAAAAAATAATTATATCGAGTTTTAACTCATTGTAACTATTATCACTAGTGAATTTAGTTGTCTCATTATATTTATTTTTCAAAAAATTTACATATTTAATTAGTTAAATTTAATTAAATCACTGTAACTTTACTAATAAATAGTGAGTTAAGTCCTTAAATACATTAAATCAAATATTAAAATCTGACGATCGTCAACTTATAAAACACAAGTGTCTTAATCATTAGAGCACCATATTATTGTTAAGATAGTTGGTTGTATTTGTAGGATTTAATTTTTACTTCAATTTATTTAATTTCAATTCTTACAAGTAGTAGTTTTGAACTAGAAATTTTAACATATTATATGTTATGTATAAAAAATATGTGCTTATAATAACTTAATTTGTGAGAGATTTAGATACGGTACAAAAATTGGTTTAATAATATTCTTAATACTTAAAAAAAAGAAAAATTTATAAGACTATGCTCGTGATAGACATCCATATATGACAAAAAGATTACACACAATCATATTTTTTTCTTCAATCATATTACATTTATATATGCAAATATTGCATTAGAGGTAAATTAGTGCACTAAAGTGTGTTTTACATGAAATTATTTATATGTCTAGCTAAGTAATTAATATTTTATTGACCTACATACCTCCATAATTACCTTATAGAAAATACACTTGAAATTATATACTCTAAAAAACCATGTGAGATATTGAAAAAAAAAAAGTGCACCATCAATAATTATAAGCTATTATTTCTCTTTCTAGTTCCTTTTCTTTTTAGCTTCCTCCTTATATCATTTAAATTTAAAATTTTAATCAAAATATTGTAGTATAAAAGCAATTTCCATGCAAATAATTTATAATAAAAATAAATTAAAATGACGGGATATTAAAAAAAAAATCAAACGAAATTATAGTTCGAGTCAAATTATACTATCGTATGTATCATTATTTAAAATTTATTTATTTTATGTTATAATTAATGTATATATTTTTAACATAAAAAAAATTAAAAACTAAATAAATTATATATTATTAATTCACTTGATAGAAAAATAAGGGTATGTTTACTTAAGAAAAAATATTTATAATTTCCATACGTTCTTTTATTTGATCCTAACGGGGTTGTTTAAAACTCAATTAAAACGGCGCCGGTTGGAACTACTAATTCAAGGCTGAACCTCCCTCAGCATTCGCCGCTATCTTTCTTCTTTTCTTCGTCTGTCTCGTTCAAGCAGAGCAGCGGAGTAGCGGATAAGAGGCTAAGAATGAGCAGTTTATCGGCTTTAGAGACGGCAACTTCCTCCATGTCTAAACTCTGTCTCTTCAGCAATACCACCTTCTTCTCTTTCACTGAGAAATTACCTTCATCATCCCCCAAAACGCTCAGGATTCTTTCCACCTCCCCTCACCTGCTTTCGTCTTCCCCCAGAATAAGCAGAAGCCATGGCGGCGTTCTCTGCTTCTCCAGTGAGCACCCAGTTACTTCTTTATTTGATGCATATGCTTCTCGCCCATGTTTTTGGGATTTCTGTTTCTCCTATATTTTTCTTGCTGTCTATTTCGTGCTATATTCTTGTGCTTAGGGTTAGTTTAGCATATCCAGAAAATG